TGCCTCTGCCTCCCAAGTGCTGGGACTACAGGCATGTGCCACCATCCTACAGAAAGACTCATTTTTAATGCTACTAATGCTTAGATGTTTTGTACATGTGTCTTTAATCTCTATGTATCTGATTATTACTGGTCACAGTGGGTTACACTCCGATCCTTGGCACCTGAGTATGGATAGGAAGTCATCAGGTAGATTTCAATGGTAATGTTTACCACCTCTACTAATTAACATGAAGTAAATTTTTATGCTTCCTCCTCAAATATGTCTTTTTAAAAAATTTGTTGATTTTTTAAAAATTTTATTTTATGTGTATGCGTGTATTGCCTGCAGTGTACCCATGTTGTACAAGGCCTGTGGCGTTCAGAAGAGGGGTCAGATCCCCTGGAACTGGAGTTACAGACAGTTGTTAGCTGCCATGTGGGTGCTGGGATTTGAACCTGGGTCTTCTGCAAGAACAGTCAATGTTCTTAACTGCTGAGCCATCTCTCCAGCCCCAGTTTGTTGATTTTTTATGTGTATATCATACATAACATCCCAAATAATCTTATTCATTTATATACCAACTTCCCAAATGGCACCCTCCCCTAGCCCCCACCCCCACTGGAGTCTGTATATTCTGTCATTCCTGTTACTGTCCACTGTGTTGTTGGTGCCTCCAGCCATTCCCCAGTGCTTGTCCATCTGCTGAATCTAGTCAGCCTATCTAGAGATCCTTGTTTTAGGAAGATCAGCTGTTCCTCATCTAGCAGCAATTAGTTGTTAATATTCCTTTAGATAAGATTGGAGTCTGCTGTTCATTATCCCAGTTCTACGCTGGGTTACTGTCTGGGAGTCTTTTGGGCCACCCTGGCCAATAACTCAAAGGAAGGTATCTCCTGTCTGGCATTGTTTCTTGTTATGTAGTCTTTAGCTATACATATGGACTCATAAAAATTATATTGACCCCATTAATCTTTGATTATACTTTTGGGTGTTTAAGACCCTACAATTGGCTCTGATAAACCAATTTATTTTTACTCTTAGGTAGTTTGAAGATCTGTTCCTCGGGGATAACATGGGCTTGGGAGGAGCCCCTGGCTCCTTTTTTTACCAGTTCCGTCTAGGTGAAGATAAGTCAAAGGTCCTACTCGATCATGGCTGGCTTCACTTGGAAGCATGAAGGAAATATTTCTTCTGTGTTGATCCTCCTCTTTGTAGACTGGACCCAGGTTCAAGTCCATCTGGTGGGGTCTCCACAACCTCCTTGGTCAAGAGGACAGGTGACTCACCACAGTTACAGGACATTTTGAGAGATGCTCATAGTCCCCTGGAACTTAGTTGACGAGGGCAAGGAGCAAAAACTGTCCTTTAAGTCCCTCTGACCACATTAGTATAGGCCTCAAACTATGGTTGTTAAACATCCAAGAAGGTTAGTTCCACCAGCCTGGTACTTTTAATTACCATGTGCCAGGTAGATAAAGCTTGGGCAGAGACCAAATACTCTCAGATAAACCTTGCCTAGACATATATTACATTCTTTGATCTAGTTGTATGTATAATTTGTCAGTAGGTTGTTGGACTAATATGGTTTCCTCTCATTTTTTAAAACTAGCTAGGCATTATTTATCTTTTGCATTGTCTAACCCTGCAACCATGGTTTCCCCCATTTAAGGTGCCCCCATTTCCCCATTTCTACCTTAATAATACCTTTCTCCTATGGTACTACCTCTCTTGAGCTCCTTCTTTCCCTCTATCCCCTAGATTCATTGTATAACCTTCCCTCCCTCCTCCCCTTAAAATAACCCCATTTTTTATCCATATCTACCTTAACACCTGTTTCCTACTGTTCTTCTCTTTCAGATTCTTTCTTTTCCTTTAACTCCATGGTTCCCATTCATTATCCTGGTTCCTATACTTATGTCTGGATACATAATCACTTACCAGGATTTGGTGCTAGGATCCACATATGAGGGCAGAACATATGTCGTTTTTTTTTTTTGGTTTTGTTTTGTTTTTTTTTGTTTTTTTTTTTCTGAGCCTGTATTACTTCACTTAGTATAACAATTTCTAGTTCCATCCATTTACCTGCAAATTTAATGATTTCATCTTTCTTTACTGCTAAGTAAAACTCCATCGTATAAATGAACCACATTTTCATTCTACTTTCCAGTTGAGGGACACTTAGGTTGCTTCAATCTCTTAGCTATTGTGAAAAGAACAGCAACAAACATAGATGTACAAGTGTACAAGTGCAATAGGATGAGTTCTTTGAGTATATGCCATGGAGTGGTATAACTGGGTCAAATGGTAGGTTCATTTGTAGTTTTTTAAGAGTTCTCCACACTGCTTTCCATAGGGGTTGAACAAGTTTGCAGCCCCACCAGCAGTGGATGAGTGTTCCCCTTTCCCCACATCCTCTCCAACATTTGATATCATTTGTTCTCTTGATCTTAGCCAGTCTGACTGGGGTAAGATGAAATCTTAAAGTGGTTTTAATTTGCATTTCCCTGATTACTAGTGATGTTGAACATCTTTAACATGCTTCTTAGCCATCTTTCTTTCTTCTTTTGAGAACTCTCTGTTCAGCTCCTTAGCCCATCTTTTAATTGGGTGACTTCCTTTCTCGATTCTTTGTTTTTTTGAGTTCATTATATATTGTGGATGTTAAAACTCTGTCAGATGTGTTGCTGGTGAAGATTTTCTCCCATTCAGTGGTTTTCCTCTTCCTTCCCTTGGCTGTTTCTTTTGCTATACAGAAGCTTTGTAATTTAATGAGGTCCCACTTACTGATTGTTGACCTTAGTGCCTGAGCAGCTGGTGTCCAGTTTAGAAAGTCCTTTCCTATGCTTATATCTTGGATGGTGCTGCCTATGTTGTCTTCTGGCGGTTTCACA